AGCGGTCACCCATCCAAGTACTAACCACGCCCGATGCTGCTTAACTTCGGTGATCGGACGAGAACCGGTGTGTTCAGCATGGTATGGCCGTTGACGTCCACTAGATTTATTAATTCTAAAATTGAGCAGACTTTATAGTAATTAGAAATTTAATTTACGTCACAATTAAATTTAGAGATTTAAATTATTATTAAAATAGAATTTTTTCTTTTTTTTTTTAATATATATATATAAATAAAATTTAAATTTACATATTTCAAGATGGGTCATCGGGTTCATCCGTTGTTTTTTTACTGCTTTCGTTATTTTTATCAAAATCAATTTCATTTAATTCAGTTAGGGTTGTTTCTCTTTGCGTTTGCGTTAGATTTTTCGGTGAAGGACTTCTTCCTCCCGCAATGCTGTCGTTTCTAGACGATGAACTACTTTTAAATAAATTTCTACTCGATGAAAACGAAGCACTTCTAAAATTAACCGATTCCGATGTTTTATCCATAAAAATCCCACGGGATATATTTTGTTCTTCTGCCGATAAACTACCCTCTATTTTTTGCGTGTTAGATTTTTTTTTCCTCGCGTTGCTTCTAACCAGCGAACAATTTTTTTTAAATTCTTTCGATTTGTGAATTAAACATTTGGGAGCATTTTGCCTGTGAGCGTGACATTCGTAAATTCTACAATTTCCACGTGGTGACATTGACGGCGAATGAATTTTCATGCACGAAGGTTTTTCATCGTAAAAAATTTTAATATTTTCCGATGATAAATTTATTTTTTGTCGTTGATCGTCTATAAAAAAAATTTTATTTTCTTCGCTTCCGTAGGTTTTCTTAACTTCCGGATGAGGTGAAAAACTCATACTTCGAAAATCAGCCGTGATTTTCGGTGTTGGATTTCTTACGGGAGAACAATCGCAACAATAACCGTGAGGTTTTAAATTTAAACTAAAAAAATAAATTTAAATTATTTTATTATTAATTTTTATACACTAATAATTAAATTTCATTTTAAAAATAAAAATTACCTAGAATTCGTTTTAAAACGAAATTCTTCCGCTTTGGGTGATATTAAAAATCTAGGTATGCATGAACATCTATTATATCTTTCATCTTTGTCTTCTTCCACTTGTTTTTGTCTAAGTAATTGATGTCTCCTTGACGTGTATGACCGTTTATTAGCAGATTCGTCTTTTACTTTAAGTGTTACTTGACAATCGTGTAAATCCAAAGCCATGGAAACCTTTTTAAAAAAAAAATGTTCTTTAACATTTACAAAAATGAAAATCTTTTTTTTTTTTTGCTCTCTCTCTTACCTGGGAACCGGTGGGACCAGTATAAGAATTTAATTCGCCATCAATTGATTCTTTACTTTCTCTTAATTTTTTATCATCTTTTTCTAATTGTCTCGTCAGTGGCGGTGTCAAGCATTTAAAACTTTCGTAAAATGAATTATCCACCGATAGAGCTTGCCTTTTTAAAAAATGCGGACGTAGAAGTAAATTATTCGTGGGTCCCTCTAAAAAAAACACGTAATTGAACCCCTTAAAAGTTTATTACAAAGCATTGAAATTAAAAAAAAAAAAAAAAAATTATTTCCGAAAGTTGATACTGGAGAAAACTTTAAACAAAAAAAAAAATTCCTTAATTTAATTTATCCCCCCGCTAAAATTTTATTCCCGTAACTTTTTTTTTTTTTAATTTTTTCAAAAGCTTCTACAGGAATGAAGTGGGTGGGGGAGATGGGGAGGTGAGGGGTGAAGGGGAGGAGGGTTTAAAAAAATTATTTTTTCATCTGTTTTTAACGTAAGAAAAATTTAAAAATTCGAATGACTTTTTTTAGAAGAATTTTTTCTTTAATATTTTAATATATGAATACGCTCGAGTATTTCTCTCTCTCTCTCTCTCTCTTTCTTTAACTAAAGGAAATTTATGTACGCTTTGTAAAATAATAATCTTACCCGAATTTTTATAGGGATCTCTTGCACACGGGGATCTTGTACATTGTAAATTATTTGATGGATTCGAAAAAAATTTTTCTTTAGATTTTCCATGTTTCGGTGTTGACAAATCGAAATTTTCCATAACCTGAACCAAATCTGGAGCCGACGGTGATTTATTTAAATTTCCCGCGTTAAATTTATTTTTAAAACGATTTTGTTTTTCATGGAATTGTGAACTTTTTAAAAAATCCCTGGAAATCTAACAAAAAAAAAAAAAAATTATAAATTAAAATGAAATATGTCGTTAAATCAAAAAGTTATTCCTTATTATTATTATTATTATTATTATTATTATTATTATTATTATTAAAATAAATCTGACTAATCCAATAAAGATAAAAAAAAATTTTAAAAAAAAGTTTTCTTTTAAACTTATTCTAAAAATTTTCTTTTCATTAACATTTTTTTTTTTTTTTAAAAAAGTTTTTATTTTATATTTTTAATTAAAAAAGGAAAAAAAAGAATCACCTGTGAAAAAGGAAGTACGCAACCTTTTAAACCTCCCGATTCGTTTTTAGGTGACCATTCATTTCCGGTATTATAAATATGTAGTTTGTTAGTTTTTAATTGATATTTATTAGTACCCGTTTGACAACTCGTACTTTTTTTACTTTCTATTCTTTGTACCGTTTTCGTTGTGTGACTTGATTTAACGCTTCCTCTATTTACCGAAGAATTCATTGTCGGTTTAAATCTTGCGGGTACTACTTTTGCTGCGCTGTCACGTGCTTCAAATGTCATAACGCAAGCTGCTACAACTATAAAACCTACGTAAATAAAATTATTTTTATTAAAAATATTATTTTAAAACCGGTATAAATTAGGTTCGTGAAAAACTTTTCTCTTATTATTAATTAATCTCGTAAATTATTAAAAACGGAAAAAAAAGAAAATTTTTTCTCCCTATTTTGTTTGTTTGTTTGTTTTGAATTTGACGTTTTTTTTTTAACAAACTCTAATTTTTAAGGTTTATTAATTAAAAATTATTTTAATAAAATAATTTTCAAAAATCATCGAAAAGAAAAATTTAAAAGAGGTAATTAAGGTAATAAGGTTATCGTTTTTTTTTGGGGGGGGGAGGAGGATAAAAGTAATTCAATTACCGTAAACAAAATCGATTTTTTTTTTTCGATTTGAATAAGTTGAAAAATAATAATAATAAAAAAACGTTTTTAAAATTGGTTTTTCTATTAATTTTTAGGTATCGCGATAATTTAATCGAGTTTTTTTATAACTTTTTGTTAATAACAAAAAACCAATTTTTAATAAAAGAAAGGTTATCAAAAGGTGATGAGATAAAACCGTGATAAAAAACATAAAAACCCAAAATTTTGCGGATATAATATTTTTAATTTTGTTATTAAATCCCACACAATTATTTTATATGCGTATAACCCAAAGTCATTAATTAAAAATTTAGTTTTCTAAATGAAAAAGGTTTTTTTTTTTTTTTCGCTTGAGGTAAAGGTTATGTTGGCAAAAAAAAGGGGATTGTGGGGGGAGCCAACGGCACGTGGTGTTCCCAAGCGGTCACCCATCCAAGTACTAACCACGCCCGATGTTGCTTAACTTCGGTGATCGGACGAGAACCGGTGTGTTCAACATGGTATGGCCGTTGACGTTGATACCTGCCTAATACTCAGAACTTCGTGCAGATGAATGGAATCTAAAAGAACGTTTCGGAC